CTGTGCCACCTGTGGTCCACCTGACCCTGCGCCAGGCCGGCGATGACTTCTCCCGTCGCTACCGCCGCGACTTTGCCGAGATGTCCAGCCAGCTCCACCTGACGCCCTTCACCGCGAGGGGACGCTTTGCCACGGTGGTGGAGGAGCTCTTCAGGGATGGGGTGAACTGGGGGAGGATTGTGGCCTTCTTTGAGTTCGGTGGGGTCATGTGTGTGGAGAGCGTCAACCGGGAGATGTCGCCCCTGGTGGACAACATCGTCCTGTGGATGACTGAGTACCTGAATCTGCACCTGCACACCTGGATCCAGGATAACGGAGGCTGGGTAGGTGCATATCTGGTTGAATGTGAGTCCGGGCTGGATGTCTTGGGTCTGTGATGCGCTGGTTGGAGTGTGGGTGGGCTGCTGGGCCAAGGGCAGGCCCCTAAGCCAATGCAATAAAATCAGGTTTGTGGCTTCCCTCCCTTTCCCCCTATACAGAGCTCTCTCTGCCAATCCTGCTGTGATCTTGCTTACCGCCAAAATTGTTTCCTTTGCTTGTCTGCCGCTGAGGTTCAAAGATCTAGATTCGATAGGCTCTTGGGATAAATGGCACCCCTTCAGGTTTCTCAAACTGGGGATCCAAGAATCCCCAGCATCACAATACCTGGCCTGAGTAGCTGGTTGAAATCAGAGATTGCAAGGACAACTCGTAAATGAGAAGCCAGGCTGGGTCCTGGCAGTCCACATCAGAAATGAGCTCTCCTGGGGGGTTTCTTTTTTGTACTAAAATTTGAGAACCACCCAATTAGAAGAACAGACTCCCCCAGAAGACCAAGAGCATGCCTTTTCACTTGGTAAAATCTACCCAAAAAGAAAAACCAATGTATCCCTTTTCCCTGGGGAACTTGAATGTGTTTGTAAAAAGATAAGGTGTTAGTTGACTTTCCAAAAGTCCAGGGACTCTCGCCTACACTGCGTGCCACATTCCCAAGGGGGCATCACCCAGGGTTTTGAAGAACACTCAGCTGTGGTATCTCATCAGTGACAGAATTTGCATTGGCTGCCGTACCTTGTGTTCTGTTTCTATAACTTGTGTATGATTTTGAGGTTTACTGGAATCTGAGTATCTTTTACTTTTCACCACCTAGAATCCCTATCTTTTGGTGGTCTCCTCTGCTGGAAAAGCTTGCATCTGTGGTATCTGCAGAAAGCATAGGAGAATTGATTCTTAGCTGTGGATTCTCATGCTCTGCCTTTAGCCGAAGTGATTGATGCTTGTATTTTTGAGGAACATCTGTGAGCTGATTTTTTTTTTCTGGTACTGTTGTGCAAAATCGAGCTTCCAGCACGTTACCATAAAGTTCTTTTATTGTGTGTGATTCTCCGGGGGAGGGGTACAGGTCCCATGATTGATGAAGTGTGAGTGAAATCTATACTTTATATCCCAAGTTATTAATTTATGAAAAAGTAAAAGAGGAATGATTCTTGTCCAAAGGTTTTTTTTTTTTTTGCACACTTTTTGTTTTCACCTGAAGAATTGTCTTTGAAAAAGGATGCAGCTCAGTGCTTCCTTTTATAGTCTCTAGGGAGAATTACTTGTGTTATTATTTTATAGGACCTAACGGGATTAAAAAGCCTAGAAGTCATTACAAGTGGATTCGATTTCAAGAAGCACATTACATATTTTACTACAGTTTACAGAGTATGCTAATATTAAGGGGCCAAAAAGAGAAAAGGCCAAGAAAAGTAGATGACTAACATGAACATCTGATCCTACTTGACCAAAGTTGACAAAATATTGATGCCACTGTTGACTGTTTAAAACATCCCTATTTAATCTCCAGAGTTTAAATGCTTTTTGTGAATTGTTTGTTTTTTTGAGATCCCATATTATCAGATCTTTAGTAATTCTGGAAGAATTCAGTAAAGGGTGAAAAAAATATTTTTGTTAAATGTTTGGATAAGTAAGTGGTTTTATTTTTAACCACCATAACCAAAGAGGTAGGGACTTCCAGATGCCAAAAGGATCATTTAAGACCAAAGTAAAACAAATTTAACAGTTTCACTATTTCATCTTTTTGTGAAAAAATATTTAAATTTTTTTTCTTTCTAGTTGAAAGAAATCAAAGGTGATAACTGTCATGTGTCAAGTAATTTAATAAAAAGAGGAAAAACGGAGACATATGTTTATGATAGAAATTAAGATATAATCTTGATCTTTGTTGTCAAGTTGTGGTATATTAACATCCCATACAATTGATTGAGTTTTCTTTCTGAGTGAAGGCTCCCTTTTTCCTCCTTTCAAAATAAAGTTTTCTCAGTAGAGCCTATCTTTGTGGTCAACAGGTATCTGAGGTTGATAAATGTAGAGGCTACGTTTTATGATACCAAACCACAATGACATACCATAGAGCATGATAAACTTTTTTTTTTTTGACAAAAGCTCTTATAGTAAAAATAAGTAATAGAGAAGCACAAATAGCTAATGGTAAAATGTGTACCTTTCAGGACAACATATAGATGGATGACTAAATAGGCAAACAAAGGGCTGTGGCAAAAATAAAAGTTTGTATCAGGAAATGCAATCATAAATGTACACTTTGGAATAAAAGTGGTAGAATTTGAGTCTGATTGACTCATTCTTTCAAAGGTGCATTATTAATCTAAATTTTTATGTTAAGTATTTGTCATACAGATTTTCCTTCAAATTTGCACCAATCGGGTTTGCATCTCTAATAATATGTTGCACCTTATGGTGTAAAGGACTCAACAGAGATGGTCAAGTTTCAGAAGAAACTTGGCACATTCTTTTCACAGTGGGCAATAACTTGCACTGTGTACAGGACTCAGTTCATCTACTGAATCTATACTGACGGGGCTTTAGGCTTAAAGGTCCATTTTTAAATTTTTTTCTTTGCTGCTGCTACTTCTGAGGCCGATAAAAAAACAGTCTGCATTTCATATCCATAACTTGTAGAAAGCAGGGCCTTGGAATGATAAGCGTTTGAGAGATGGTCCCAGAAGCCTACAAATTGAGTAAAGACTAAAGAAGAAATTGGATGTAGAGTGGAGTGGGGCTTTTTCCTAGGTCTGAATAAGGCATCCAGACAGAGACAGGACAGTGGAGCAGTGAGGAGGCAGCAGTCCTAGGAAATGTCTGAGATCCTGCTGTGCCACGTGTGGTTCACAGACCAGCAGCCTGAGCATCACATGGGAGCTTAGGGATGCAATCTCAGGTCCCACCCCAGAGCTTCTGAGTCATAATCTGTGGTTCACACGTCTACAGGTGTTTGTGTGCACGTGAAAGTTAGAGATGCTGGCCACCAGCATCGACCGTTGATTCCTGCAGACATCTTGTGGGAAGAATGACAATCTAAGATAGGTCTTACAGTGTCTCTTTTCCAGTGGCTTCACAGGTTCATACCTGGAACACTGACTGTTTCCCATGTGTCCTCTAGAGTGATCTGACCCTTGGAAGAAATAGACTAGAATGAGAGAAGGGATATGTTATTATAAGCTCCATCATCTCAGAAATGTTTTTCACAGCCACTATACAACTTGTATTGGCATTACTGACCACATTAAAATAAGGTAGCTTTTCTACTCCAGTTAGCTCCATTAGGTATTATTTTATCCCCTTGTAACAATTTAAATTCTGTAGATGAGTTTAGTGGCCCTGAGACTGCTTCATGACGAAGGGGCTCTTGGCAAGCAGAAGGTTGAGATTTGGGCAGGTTGATGGGGAGTGAGCATTGAGAGCGCCCTCCAAACTGGGAAATGCTACAGCGTTTTGCTTGGTGGCTTTAAAGAGTGAGATGTTTGACAGCTGCCAAAATGAGCTGCCTTAAACAGGCAATTGACTTCATTCTGTTGATGAGATGGCAGTGTGACATTTTTGTGTGTGTTTGTCTTTTGGTCTTTGTGGTTTAGGAAGACAGGAACTTATTTCTCTACATCCAGTAGAGGTTAGGTTCCTTTTTATTAGTTGGTCAGCAAGCAGTTTCTCTTTTCTGTATGTAGTCCACATCCACCCTAACATTTGATTAACTGGAAAGCAATAGCATTCTCAGGCCAGTGTTGCAAAAGATATGAAAATGCATCATTTAAGTTACCGCCCCCCCCATAAAAAAAAGAAAAAGCATCATTTTTCTAGTGGCTGAATATCAGCTGCTTATGGCCAATTTTGGCAGCAAAATGAGAGGATTAAAAATAGCCCGAAGATGATCCAGTCTTAAATAATTTATTTATTTAATGATGAACTTTCCTTGGGAAAGTGCATCTTTTTGCCTGCTGAGAATCATATGACCCTTCCCAATAATCTATTTTGTAGAAAAAGGTACATGAGTGCTCCTAGAGTTTGCGGTCGTGTGCTGTTGAGTGATTACACGTGGGGACTTTTCTAAAATTTTATAGTTCACTCAGTTCTCTTTTCTGTTTTAGAGCCTTTGTTGCTGTTTAATGTCGGTCGAAAACATGGCTTTCTTTGGTGCATCCTGTTACTTTTCAGCTGTGCTTTCTAGTGAGAACTGATTGATCTTTTTAGCAATCCTTGATTGAACTGGTACATTTCAGATTGCTTAAATGTCATCAGGTCACACAGCATACCAGGTAACAGAAAGCCACGGATTTTTTTTTTAAAGCCAAATTCTTATAGTTTTTCTTTATGTCTACTCCCAGTCCTAGTCAGCTTTTTGGAGGAATGATAAACCCACTCATAAAGCAGATGAGTGGGTGCTGTGTGTACTAACAGTGGCCTCTCCCCGCCAGCACAACCCTGCACCCATTTCTGAGGTGACCCATCATGTCTTCGCCATCGTTCAGCAAAGCAGCATTTGAGCAGAAGTGCATTTGTGCGAGGAGACAACACCGTCTTTGTAGTGTATGAGTGAAAAGGTTTTTTTTCTCTCCCCGGAGATATATTGTATTTGAGGTTCAAAGGTTCTGTTAAACCTTTTTAAGGTAATCTAATAGTACCTTATTCAGGAAGAGCGGTAACCTCGCGAGCTGGTCACCCTCTCCCCCGGCTCCGCACCGGAGACCACTCGGCGAATGACTCCACTGCGCAGGTTCTCTTTCATTCCTCTTGGTTTGATTCAGACAAAATCGGGGATTGATGTCAAAATAGGATTAACGACGAGAGTCAGTCAAGGACTGAGACCCACAGACGGGATCGCAGGCCTGCCAGGTGCCCGGCGCTGGGTTAGCGGGGGGTGCAGGACGGAAGGCTTCCTGCTGCCCAGGGCGCCCTCAAGGCTGGTGCTGGAGGTGTCCTCGTGAACTCAGAGCTGCCGCTCAGCCTGATAAGCATGATTCTAAACTCTCAAAGTTAGAGGGAAAAAGAG